AAAGCTGATAATGCAGTAATCCAGGGCGAGCTGGTGAGGCCTGAACTAGAGTGGCGGCAGAATAGCGTGCAGTGGTGAACCTGAGAACAGTCAGTAGAGTCAGGCCTTGGTACACTGAGCACCAAAGCCACTCTCTACGGAGCATGATTTGATCTTTCTTTGCCTAACACTATCTATGAATGATCAGTCTGAATATCAGTTTTCACTCTGTGGTATTATATTAATAACTGTTTACTATGTAGAAATTTGAATTAAATGTGTCTTGACTCTTGGGATGTAAACTAAAATTTGTTATGGGAATTAAATTCCTTCTATTAGCTTCCTTGTCCTTGTGTCTCTCTTGCTTTAAAAATGGAGTGTAGAAGAGTGCGAGGAGAAAAAAATTATAATTCTTTGGATTAGAGGAACTCAAAGTCACACCTGCATAGTAAATTATAAAGTAATGAGGTTGATTTCCATACACTACTAGGAAACTTAGTGTCTTTAAGCAGGTTCACGAATGGTAGTATTTAAACATCATGAAGGACCTTAGAGATTGTGAGTGTCAATTTCCTCATTCAACAGGTTAGCAAACTAACATTCTAGCAGTTAAATAGTAATAGTAAAACACTGAGGTTGTCAAGTTCCTGTTGTGCATTTGAAGAGAACTTTTTGAAATGATGGACGCGTGAGAAATGAGAGGATTCTTACAAAGTTTCTGATCAGAGTCAATAAAAAGGAAGAGCCTGAAGAGGTAGCCTTGAAGAAAGTATTTATATATTTTAAAATAACTATCCAGTTTTCATAGTACTACAGTGTTTACGAATAATTTGAAAAATCACAGTGAATACTTGGAAAACAATAGTGAAGTCCATTGCTTCTTAAACTTGCTGTATTTTATATTTTGTGACTAAAATTGCTTTCCTTTCCACAAAAGGCTGTTATGTTTTGAAGCACAGATATATGTTTGGAAAAAGAACACAAGGTCTTTTAACATTTCTAACACCTGTTGCTTTCAAACATATCAATAAGTAATTTCTGAAAGGGCTAGTACCTCGCAAAATCTTACAAGTGTTTCAGGTTTCTGTTAAGGTAGCATTCTTTTATCACATCCTTTGCAGAAAGTGGATTAATATATTTGAGAAATGAGAGTCATAGTGCTGAAAAGGATTTAAGTAAATATTGAGGCCTTATTTAAGTGCAAAATAATACACCAGCAGAGAGAGAAGATTTAGTTAATGAGTAAACATGGACATATGCTTACAATTGTGTTGGATAAAGTCTCTGTTTTACTTTATCAAAACTAGCCCCTTTTTCCTGCCTTCTTACACAATCACTTTAATTTATTGCTTAGTAAATATTAACTAGGGCCTAAAATTTTAACTACAAAATAAAACAAATAAAGTGATTTTAATGGTATGAAAATTGAAAACACAGGAGTTATTATAGATCACAAGTGTTCAATGCCACCTTACTATTATTTTCTTGGATTATTGGGCAAGTTCGGCTTTTTTTTTTTTGCTTCTTTGACTGCCACATTACATTTTGCCTTGAAGCCATCCATTTTGCAGATATTGAATTTCTTTTGAGTACTATTTTTATACAATAAGCATCGCTACACCTCTGGATCTTGATAGCATTACTGCGAGAGGAGAAAGCAGCTTTGTGTTAGTAATTACCTAACATTGTCAGAAGCTGACTGCAGGCCTCTTTCTAGTGATAACAGAATAACCGCATAATGTAGCTTTATAGCACATGATTAATAGAAAATAATTACACGTCCTACAAAGGGATGCAATATTTCTTATAAATTGACTAGAATGGTTTCCTGTAGATTAAAGGACTCTTCATTATTTTATCAGTCCTCCTGAAGTACAGTCACTTGCCTATGTTAGCATTTCAGTTGATGTTAAGAGCTGAGTAGGGTGAAGGATACCAGATGGCAGACCTTCTTGTACCTGAGATCTTGTGTGCCATAAAGATGACATGATGCTTCCTAACCTTTCAAAGATTTAGATGGCAGCCTGGTACGGTTCGTCTCTTCATTTTTTGTTTATTAACAAGATAAGGTTTGAGAGTTTTGGTTGTTTTGCTGTAAGTGATCCACCTGTGACTTTATAGAACAATGCTATAGTTAGTATGTGGACTGTAAAACAACACTGTATCGATTGCATTGTTTTCCTCTGTAAGTGATATGACATCCATAATCACATTTGTTTGGGGTGGCAAAGAGGAAAGGCAAAGACAGGCAAATTTTCTTCTTCAGGAGGAAACCTTGTATGATAGTGAATCTTCAGGCCAAAGTTTAGAATCCTGTACTCCATGAAGCATTTTCATTGCAATTTATAGGCTGCAAATGGTTTAATTGGGATTCATGTTGCTCAGGAGGCTCATACAGAGGATGGTAATGGTAAAAGTAAAAGCTCCTTTGTTTGCAGACTTGTCGATGTACTCTAATGGCTGCAGTGTAAATCCATAAATTTGCCTACTGTATTTTTCAGTCACTATATTTTATCTTATCTCTTAATTCCACACAGGAGTATTATATGCAATTCTTTATGAATGCAAAGGAACAAATATTCTGGTTTTTAGTTTTACCCTTTTATGGTTTAAATCTGTGATATTTTAAAATACTTTCATGAAGTATTTCTTATGTTTTTCAATTATTTTAAATTAAGTGAAGCATTTAAGACTATTTTAGATTAAAACTTTTTATTTCTCCCTAGAATGTTATTTTCAAGGAATTTGTTTACTGTTGTGTAAGCTCCTCCCTCCCTCCTGTGTACTGCCGTGCTCCTATTTAATGAATCTTACGGGTCTACCATAGTACAGAATTCTCTCAAGTGTGAAGTCTGTCATCAGTCCTTTGTTGATGTAATTTGTTGGAAATCAATTTCTTAAATTTGGGTTGAGTAAAGCTTTTTGAGATCGGCAGTATGACCTTAATTGACAGTACAGACTGTAACCAAAGTAGAATATAATAAAGGAATATGAACTTTCTGGCTTGTAATTTGAATCTAAACATTGACACCCAGATTGAGGGCCATTCTCTGGAAGCAGATATAGGTCAGTTTGTCCTCTCACTAAATGTTTTCTCTGTCCTGGGATGGGGACGACTAGTTACTTTACTCTTTCCAAATAATCAATTTAAAAATTCTTAGATTGACATTGGGTAAGAGCTTTAACACTCAGATTTACCCTGTTAACTATCCATTTTGAAATCTTACAATAGTCTGTGGGAGGTTAAGTGCATTTGTTTTGTTAAGCCTTAGGCTCTAATTGTATTCCTTGTTTTAAAAACTCAAAAGAGCAATTTTATTAGGTACCTATTAGGATATGATGGCTGCTAATAATGGCTTTCAGTAAATTGGTATTTTCTTCTGATAAGTACATCCTACACAGATTATAGTCATCATCATTGAGTCCTGGGCATCAGAGTATTCTCGTTGTTTAGACAATTTTGTCCACTAAATTCATGCTACCAGTGGACTTTTAAACTTAAAATCTTGAGTCTACTGCTTCACAAGCCAGAGCTGTGCCCTCATTAGAATAAGAAGTACAGGATTAGTCTGTCTTCCCCCTCTCCCTCCACTTTGTTCTTCCAATAAACCTGATTCTGATACTGCCCACTATTTAACAAAGCACCTCTAGATTTTATCTTATAATCTCTCTATTAATATACTACATATCAATACATACATGCTAATGTTGCTACATTTGTATTGAAGAATTGCATAATTTTCCCTTCTATTGGTCAATAGCATACTAATCAATACAAATGTTAAGTCTGTACCAGTATTACCGTTCCTTCCCCACATATAACTCAATATGCATATGCACATTTATCTGTGACTCATGTTGGAAAATCATAACCTATTGAATTACTTTTAGGATTGATTTTAAAAATTTATCTTATATGAAAAATTAAATTCGAATCCTACAATGCTTGTGCAGAGTATTGCTTTTGGAAGATATTATTCTTGAAACTTGTAATTCATTTTAGTTTGTTTGTATCTCACTAAACATAAATAAATTTGAGATAAAAATACATTAGTCAATCTGGCAGACATATGAGCCTGGTTTACGGAGTGATCACAATGCCTAAAGCAGCAGTGCATCTGTCAAAGGAGGAAAAAGTGGGAGAAAAGGAGGCATAGGTTTGTTTATCTCACGTTGCAAAGTAGATGCAGAAGTAACTCATCAATCACTCTTTCTTACAGCTAGATTAATATTTTGCCTTTATAACATGAGATACTTTTATTTCCTATTGATCTTTCACTATAAGAGTGAATCTAACACCACCTTTAAATTCCTTCTACCTATCCTTTACCTAAGGTAGCTTATGATCAATAAAAGGAACAATAAATACCATAGGAAAGCTATATTAAAGGAACCTGTTTGTGAATTATTTTGTAGAGCAACTTTTTTTGTATTATTAGTGTTTCTGTATTCTCTGATTTATCTGTTAAAATGTTAGATTTTTCTTAAGAAGGAGCATGCATCTACATTCTAAATCATTTTAGGTCCTATCAGTTTAATTAGGAATTAAGTAGTTTATTGTGAAAAAAATAATTTTATCCTTGCTAGATGATAAGCTTCTTGAAGGCAAATATAGTATCTTAAGGATCCTGGCTTTAACCGTAACAACCTCTTGCGTATAAAAGGTGTTCCCAGGCTTTGTGGAGAGAGAGGGAGAAACAGACAGAGATGGGTGGGCATAGGGGAGCAGCCGGAGAGAGCCGGCTTCCGGAGGTAGTTTCATTTTCTAAATTCTTATCATGAGTGATTGTTTCTGTGTTCTAAGCATAGTAATAAACAGGCTTTGTGTTATAAGTTAATTTAAATCTTTGCCTAACAGCATTTTAAAGTGTCCAGAAACAAAAAAGATGAAAATGTTTCCATTTGCAGCTCAAGCTCTTGTAACTTTATAAAAAAGAAAGAATGTTTCTAAGAAGTTGCATACAAACGACATTGTACTTACACCAGTCTAAAGGTTAATATTGCATATTGTTTTCAATTAGGAATACAATAGATATGGCTGGTGGGTAGGAGAAATGAAGGGAGCCATTGGCTTGGTGCCTAAAGCCTACATAATGGAGATGTATGATATTTGAGAGTCCTGGGTAAGTACATTTTAATCCAATATTCTGTAATAGCTCATATGTTCTCTTGTTCTCTTCGTTATGAGTCGTTGCCTTTTTAAAAGTCTTTATAGTTTTCTGATAACACAAGATTGTGCCCCCAAATCTTTTTCGTTTTGTTTGATCTAGTCTAATTTTTAAAATAACGTCATGGAATTTACTTTGGAAGTGAAGAGTTTAGAGAAATTTCCTTCAGTAATAACCAGCTGTTTTCCGAAACCACCTCCTCTTTAGTAAAATACCACTTTTGTGGCCTTTCTAAGGAGTTAAATTGACAAAATTTTGAGTAAACATTCATTTTTCCTTGTCTAAAAATGTAATTTTTTTCTAAGCAGGGAAAATCAACATTTCGATTGAAGAAAAAAATTAAAATGCAACTTTCCCTTTCTGGCTGCAGAAAAGGAAGATTCTTCTGCTTGTTTGGATTTAGAAGCATTGTGAAAGCATGAGTGACAGCTCATAACCTCTCTTTGTTTTGTTGAACATCTCTTGTCTTTGTTATTTTAGGCAGTCATTCATTAAAATATTCCTCTGATGTGAAATTAAATGAAGGATATTAATGTAAATTAGGTGGAAGCAGTAAAGTTATGCCTGTTGCTATTTTGCAAAGATGTAATTATAGTTTTTATTTACTCATTTCATTTATGTGAAGAATTCATCACTATTTCGTACATACCGTATAGTCTACTATATTATAGTAGTCCACCATTGCTAATTCTGGTGCGAGTTGTAATGTTTCATAATCATTGGACATCTATTATTTTTTAGAATATAATATATAATTTTATATTATTTTAAATTGAATATATCATACAGATTTTTTGGTAAATGTAAAGAATGTGTTTATGTTAAAGCTTTGCGGATGATTTATCTTGTTACTTATTTTTCACACAATAGTAACACGGTTTTGTGAAATAGGATTTACAGATTGACAAAATTACTTCCTGGTAAATACAGCCACAGAAGGAAAATGATGGAATTGCAAATGCCAGTGCGCTGTCACCTGCAGCACAAGTGCAAACCAGAAGTATGGTTTCTGCAAAGCACTTTACCAATAACAAATATCCTAGTTCCATGGTGGCATGCCAACATTTTCTACCATAGTTTTGTTTAAATTTAATGAAATAAAAAATTCATAATAAACCCCATTTTACTACAACCGAATGGTATAAAAAATCTCAATGTATTCTCAAAGTAAGAAGGCATAACCAAGCGCTCTCTTATCCTGCCTCGTCATTGCTGCGCTATTGAAGTCCCACGGCAAAAGAGCAGGTCTGAGTCTCCTCTACGCTTCTCAGAGCACTGATACAAAAAAAAGGCTTCAAGAGAGGAGAGTGTAGAAATCACGGTGGTAAAGTGTACCAACAGGTGAGAGAGTATTGTTGGCTTGATATTTGAGTTACACTCTGTGCTGCCTGAGCAAGATTTGCAGAATCATGTCATTACTTTTTCATGTATATTTGAAATCAGAGGTATTTTAAATGCCTCATGAGGTGCCAATATGGCCTTAATATATATATCAAAATGCATTGCTGATCAAATAATTATTTGGAATAGACATATAATCTCCTAACATTGAATCATTACTTAACAGGTACTATGTTTGTTGAACGTTTCAGATCTTTGCCTTATAAAGATCCTAACCTACCAAGTGAGCTGGTAATGTTTAAAAACCTCAGTTATTTATGTGAAATTATTTGCAAGAAATATTTGAGTATCTATTTTACCATTATCCCCTCAAACCATGATTATCCAGTTGCAAATGTAAAAAAAAAAATCTTAATTTTAGGAATTGTAAGTAAACTTAAATATATATATATATATATATAGAGAGAGAGAGAGAGAGAGAGAGAGAGATTGTGCAGTTAAAGTTTTCAAAAAATACATTTGTGCAATTGTTAATCTTTTCCTAAGACAGTGCCATTGAAATAGATTGAAATCATCCTGGCAAAAGTTAAACAACCAGAGATGAGCTTAGTGGGCTTGTTTTCAAAGTCTGAGGGGTTGAAAAGCAAAAGCAGTTGTTTCCAATGACAAAGTAGCCTTGCTCCTGGATTTAGGTTTCAGTGCTTTTGGCTTCAGAGAAGATTTTAGAACTAGACCAGTAGATGGCAGCAGCTTTTCATTGCATACAAAACCACTTGGAAACCCCTCCCCCACTCAGGCAGAAACTCGCCCCGAATGCAAAGCATTTAGAAGATTTCTGCCTCGTTTTGCATTTAATCCAGGAGAGGGAGTCCTTTGCCAACTGATGACCAACAATTCCAAGCCAGATAGTCTCTCTGTGAATGGTGACAGTACAGAAATAAGGTGTTACTTCTGTCCAGAGCTCCTCTGGCCTTTGTTCTTTTTTAACTTGAATATAGGTAAGAGATATAAGAAAGGAAACAAAGGACTTAAAATTGGAATGACAGGAAAAATAATCACTATTTTAGATTCATGACTACTTTCTATTCATTTGATGAAATCATTTGTATACAACCAGGGAGAAAGTTTTCTTTACACCCTTGACAATATATCACATACTCTTCAAGATCATAATAATATCATTAATGTGAATTTAAACAACATGGCTTGTTAGAAAATATGCTAATTGCTATGTTCTCATTATGTTTGCTTAGCTTTTATTTGTTTTTCTATGAACAGTTAGCTAATTTTTTCAAAGGTGATTGTAAGTCATATTTTATATAGCATTTTGCTTGATTATTTGCTCTATACTGAATTTGTACTCTATTGCCATTAGATCTTACAATAATGTTCCACTCTGCAAATTTTTAAGGTTCAAATAAAGTTTAATTGTTTGCAAACTGTTATGATGCTAATAATTCAACAGCCTGCTGTGTTACTAATGAAATTACTTTGTTATGATTAATTTGGAAAATAGTGTGTTGATTGTAGTAATTAAGCACAACAAGGTGAAGTAAATGATTCTAATGCCATCTGGCCTCCAAACTGAATGAAGAAATGAAATAGGGCTGTCATCTGAATTTATTCAAAGAAGTAAGGATAATACAAATGACTTTCATTGCTATAGGATTTACACTTAACCACAGTTCACTCCATTCTGTTTTTGCCACTTGGCTGCATATGACACTTTCTTTTATGAAAAAGAACTTGTTTAGTCCAGCAGTTGTTTTTATTAATAATACTTTGTTTTAAGCTGATTATTTTGACTATGCACTAATTTAATTGCAGATAATTATACATAAAGTATTATAGAATCATAGAAAAACCACTTTCTAACACTACCCTTTCAGCCATCTGTAAGTAAAATCTATATATGTAGGGTTTTTTTGTTTTTCTGTGGGGTTTCTTTTGCTATCAGTATATAAACACTTTGAATATAGCCTTTCACAAAGAGTAGAGCTTTCATTCAATTGTTTCTAAAATGTGTGCATTTAAGGCTCTACTTTTCCTATAATTTCTACACTCTATTGCTACTCACTTCATAGACTCTGATACCATGCAGGGTCATGATTAAAAACATAACTGAGTTACATATTATAGATTCAGATTTGCAGTTCAGCCACTAGAAGAAAACTGATTCCAATATACGTGTAGCTTAAAAGCTTGAACTTCATCAGGGACACTGAATGAAGCATTGTGAGAATTTTTAAATCAAGTAAAGTTCTTCTAAATTTCAGATAAATCAATTGCTTGTATTTCAATTTTTGAGTGGAATTATAGAAACAAACCATATAGAGATCACTTTTACTTCTCTTGAGTTCAGTAGATTCAAGAATATTGAAAAGCTAATTCACAAGATAAAGAAAAAGGTGGTAGAGATTGGAGATTAAAACATGATCAAGCTATAGAAAACACAGCTTCACTCAGAGGTTGAAAAAGTATAATTTATACGTACAGATAATAAAAAAAATTGTTAAACATGGCCTAGTTTGTCAGTAAAATCCTGAGTATTCAAAAATACAGAGACACAAATAAGTAGTATATTGTTAAATTCTCTTTCTACAAATTTAATCTGTACTAAAATGCATAATAGTTTACCCTCTGGATTGGGAACAAGGGATTTCTAGACTTCCTCAGCTTGAGCCAGTTTATCATCCATCTACTGCCTTAGAGTTGAGTTCTTCCAGAACATCTATTAGAACCCTTGATAGTGTAACATTGTGTTATGATGAGCTAAATACTTATAAAATTATATAACCACAATAACATGAAATGACATTTCATTAATGCTATGTTTGAGGGGCTTTTTCTTGTTTTTGCTGGTAGACTCCGCTACTAGCAAACATATGATTCATTGCCAGCATGGTACAAAGTACATGGTGTATATCCGGTAAATATTTGTTAAGTAACTAATTTGGCACCCCACAGTATTTCAAGACCTGAGATTTAAGAAGAAAAGGGCTTGACTATCTGGTAGAGAAAATGCCTTTATACAGTTAGTACCACCCATAATATCAACAAGTAGATTAGATTTTATTTTTAGTAACAGAATTGAGTGAAATTACGAATAATGGGGAAGTGGCAGATGTCTTTAGATGTTTCCTCCCTTTCTTTCCTTGTGTTCAGTGTTGTGACTCTTTCAAATAAAGGGCATAGGTGACTCAGGGACCTTGGGCAAGTGATCTAGTTTCATTTTCTAGTGAGACATTCCAAATCATTGCTGCCCTGCATTCCATTTGGCTAATATCAGAGAAGCCTCCCCTTCTGCCTTCTGATCTTGTAAGCATTGTAGATGCTGCCCTGGGTGGATCAAAAAGGAATTTCTGAAAATGGGAAGTTTCACACTTGTTGCCAAATCCAATCATAATTCATATTTTGTCCTTTTTAAAAACAAAAACTTTACTCCCTGTTTCTTTAAAGTTGTATGAATAATGTTAATTGGAGTGCTTTGAGTCCCCAAGATGAAAGGAACCTTCAATACAGAGAGTAGCCTTAGTCCTACCACTGCTCAGTTTAGGCCTGCAGTGTTAGGAAAAAGGGCTGGAAGTCAAGCAAGTCAAAACACTTGTGAATATGTGCAAAAGTGTGAATATGGAAATAGCTCCCAAAGGCCATCTTTTAAGTGTCTTCCTACATGTTGGAACTTTGAAAGGTGTTTGCCTAGATTTCTCTCCTCTTCATTTTCATGGTTTTCTTTTTTATCATCCATTACTTGGAGAGGTAATATAGCACAGCACTTGTCTATTTTCTGTTTATTGGCCTCAACTTTGTAATACAAAAATATCACACCATCTACAGTAAAAGCAGATGCCATTTTGCAGCTTGAACAGCAATTTACCTCTTGTTTGAGGAAAGTGTCACACAGGTACTCTCAAGGGAGAAAATTAATGACACCAACATATGCCAGTTAAAAACAACTGCTTTAGAGGAAGAGAAAATTCCAACAAATAAGCAGATTTCTGTACATTACCTTCCCTTCCCAGCTCCCATGGGAGTCCATTTAGAAAACCTCCTGTTCTTTAACTATCATGTCAAATGCGATGATAATTTAAGACTAGTAATAGCCAATGTTTACTGAGTATTTACTATTTGTCGTGCTGTGCACTGTTCATTCAGTTCTTATAACAACACCATGAGGTAAGTTCTGGTATTTATTACCATTTTCCTGATTAGAAAACTGAGGATAAATAATTTGTCCCAAGGTCTTAGGGTGGTAAGTTACCTAGCCAGGC